GAGAATAGGATGATAAAGCTGATCAGACTGACGCTCGTAATGTCAAGAGGTGGATAGTGAAGGGAGAAGCAGTTCTGTTGATATTTGAAGATGGCCTGGGAAGTCCCTGCTTCTCTGAGCACAGGACAAGTCAAACTTGTGACTCTGTTAATTTCTCTGCAAATAGTAAAACGCACAAGGTTGATTCACCACACTTTAAAAAAATAGTGTGTGGGAGCTTTCTTATATAACTTTAAGTAGTCAGTTTGCTGCTGTAAGGTCTCCAGGTTCAGACCGTTTACTTCCACTTCAGTTTTCATAAAGGGGAAATATTTATAAGAAATATATGAAATATTTCTTAGTTCCATCAGACCTCTTTGTCTTTTGTGCATACCAAAAAAGGTTTTCCATTTGTATTAACCTGATATACATTTTACAATGTTTTAGCAATGGATTTGTTAATAAATTCATTAAGAAAACTTAGCTTCCTAGGTCTATTTGGAACATATCTCCAACAAACTTTGGAAATAGAAAATTTAGGAAAAACTGTCAGAGGAAAAGATGTAAAGCTATGTGAAATAATTTGTTTAGGTAGAAATCTGTAGCTCCTAGAGGAATAAAATAATATCTAAGAGTTTTCTAAGTTTCTGTAAAAGGCTATATAAGGAAAAGATCATTCCTTAGTCTCCAAAAAGCATTATCTGCAGGCGATAGGAAAGCACTTATACATTTTTTTAATCTGCCAATTAAGCAGTAATCTTGTCTAGCAAGTCCTAGGTTAATTTAAAAACAGAAATTGAAGGAAGTTTACATGATCTCTTAGTCAGAATAGTTTCCTGTGAAAACAGAAGCTATTTGCAATCTTGCTGTCTGTTATACACATTTGAAATGAATAGCAAGAAAGGAATACTCCTAGGTTGCAGCCATGTTTTGGCTGTTTGGCTAGAAATTTACTTTGCTGACTGTGCAGGACCCCGATTTTCTGTTTACTTGCTGATGGTTTTCTGGATGGTATTCCTACAAAAGCAATTTCTTTATAAGGACATACCCTGCATTCTAGCTCTATCACAGCAGACTTCAGATTTGTTTTTTCTAGGGTTATTACACTGCCCATGCATCTTGCTGCCTTGTATTTTTGGGCACATCCCATAATAAACATTCTCCAGAGTGATGCTTAGTGAAACTATTTCACCTAAACCATTTTCCTGTCAAAAGCAAGATCTACCATCTGGAATTAATAGAAAGCAAAAGAAGTCTGTTGGTAAAATGGAGCATGCTGTGGTGGGCAAACAAAGTTCTTCATATGATGCTGTCAAACTCCCAGGCAGCCAAGTGGCAAATTGCTTTAAGGCAGGCAGTTCAGCCAGGGAAATCTCTGCCCTGCCCTTTTCAGATTTACTGATTTCTGTTTCGACCAAATTATTATTTTCACATTATTAGGCTTTAATTGGCTCTATGGTGGCTGCATTAAGTGTGTGACTTGTTTGTTTGTTGTTTTCCTTTTGTGGCTATTCTCACCTTCCTCCTGTTGCTCTCAGCGCTGGGATTGCAGTCAGAGCCTGAGACTTAACTTGCCTTTTAAAATTTGTAACTTTTTTTTCCTACAACTGCAACTGTATCTAGACTAGAGGACTTGCTTTTCAATTCAGGAGTTCATGTTATTGATGCTTCCTGAACCAAAGTGATATCCTCTGATAGATTTTTATCTGGCAGGGTATTTTCTTCTTTTAAGTGTGTACAACTGTTCACAATAGTATAGCTATTGTATCTATGGCATGTCCTGCTACCGCTTCCAGCACTAACCTTCCAGTCTCTTGTTGTTACAAGAGCTTTTGGCATATCACCCTTACAAAGTATAATACTGTATATGAGCGTGGTTGGCTTTCTCACTTGCATGTAATGGGCAGTTATCTGCTAACATAATATCTTGAAGTCTATGTTCCCCTAGTGTAGCTGCGTGCTAGAATTGAAATTTAACATTCATCTAAAAAAGAGAGTCATTATTATAATAAACGTATCCTGTTTTTCTTTGAAGTTAGGGGAAAAGGAGAAAGTTAATGTTCCTCCTCCTACTATGAAAGTAGCTTAATACCCTTAAAGTATAAATTCCTATCTAAAAACCTTAGGAGATGGAGGCAACTGTTTCCTGCTTTTGTCATTTTCTGGTTTTGGTAGCATTTTTTTTTGAAGTTACTTCTACATTAATTAATGAATCTGGTAAAATCAATTCTTTTTTTTTTTTTTCCCCCTATAATCTCCAGATTTCATCTTGGGATTTTATATCTATAAGAACTCTTGGGGCAATGGTTTATGCTATTTCAGCCCTTCTGTAAATTTCAACATTTTCTTGGATTTTCTGTGCTAAATATTATGTAATTAAATCTGCACCTACTTCACTCCCCACTCTGCCACGGTACAGCAAACTGAACATTGAAATAGTCTATGGTTAACATTCTGCCATAAGAGCAATAATTATTGCTCTTAAATCTTTTGGGCTGTCATAAACATCATTATAGATCAGAAATTGTGTACACTTTGAGACTTATAAGAAGCCAAAATGTCTATTGTCATTTGATTCTTCTCATGAAATATTGTATTGATGCATTCCAAAAAAAAAACCTTAGAAGCTCCGTTTCCTGCGCAGAAGCAGATTGATTAGATTTGCTCTGTCATGGTCATCTTGCTATTTAGGTCTCCATCTGTTTATTACACTAAGATATAGTGAGCAACTTTTTAGGTTCATTTTCATGTGCCTTTTAAAAGTACAGGTCTGTTTTTCCGGGATAGAATTTGTAGACTTTTGTGAACGTAAAGGTGGACCTGCATGCTGGGGTTTGGAGGGGACTGCCCCAGGAAGCCCTTGACTGCCCTCATGGTGAGTGAATGGAGCTGATGACTCTCCCTGCTTTGAGCAAGCAATTGGCTAGAGACCCCCTGAGGTCCTTTCTGGCAGAAGGGTGCTTTGGTTCTTGATTCTATGATTTCAAATTATAATAAACAGTTTTATATAAACTACAGAAGAGCTTGGTTATTTGTGAGTTGAGTCTGGGTGGCTTTAGTAAGAGCTCTCCAAGGAAGTGCTGTACTAATTGTGATCAGGATTCTACTGCTTTTGCCAGGCTGCATTTTTTATCTGTCAAAAGAGGATCGCTGTGCTTCACTGTTGTCTTGTCCTCTTACTTAAGATTCTCATGGTGATTAGGTGGTCCACTGATGTACGCTTGACAAGCAGTAAGGAAGTTACAACTGCTAATGAAATGGTTCTTCTCTATTCTTTTAGTAGAATACACGCGTGTGTTTCTCTTACATTTTAGGTTCATGATACTAAAGAAAGTTTTACAGTATTATTGCCTAATGAGATGTGCAATTTTTTGGCATAGCTCCCAAAAGCAGCATGTGGGCTGCCTCTGGGAGGCACATGGTATGAGTGGGAAACAGCATCTCAGAGGGACACCTGGGGCTAGGCTGATGTAAGTTTAACACAGGACCACTTCCAGCTTTCGGGTCTGCATGCGTAGGTTGATTGTGTGTAAAGTTGTCATCTAGCCACGAGTTCTAACTTCCTCCAAACTTGCCATGCCTCAGCTAACGTTTGAAGGAATTACAGCTGTGCAGGATGCACAAGGAGTTCTTGTTTGTGTTGCATGCCTCAGTAGGCAGCTTGTGTGCGGCTTGAAAGATTTGAAGATGTGGGGTGACATACTCCTGGCTTCTACTAAATCCTGAGCTGAGTAAGAGAAGAGAGCTTCTGTTTCACTCTTATGCTAGGCCTTGCTAGGAAGGTAATAGGCTGCCTTAGGCTTTGTAGCCGGCATCTGCTTGTTTCCTCATGGTTTCTGGGAGTACAATGACACACTGACTAAAGTAAGAAAACTACAAGCCTGCAAACTGTCAGGAAGCATTTGCTTGCTCTGATGTAATCAAGTTTCTTAAAGGGTTAATCTAGGTCTCTGAAATTTCATTTGCATATCTTGCTCATGATTTGAGTTCCATGTGCCTTCTGGAGTTTTTTTTTTTGATATTAACAATATTTTAATACCATTTTCTAATATGAAATGGGAAAATAAAATATGCATAATATTATGGATGCAGCTACATGTCTGTTGTTTTAGAATTCTTGTTTGAAATATGCTTTTTCCTAGCTTTTCCTTATGCTTGGAGCAGTGCTTTCTAGAATCAAATTTCTTTCTGTTACTAACTTTGATCTCTTTAGGTAACTAACCTTGCTTGACTTTTAAAGGGGAATTGTGTACTTACAGCGTGGCACACCCTGCAATTTGAGCACTGCTGAATTTCAACCACATGCAAACAATCAAGGAACTTAAAAAGCTTTAACAAATGCGTAAAAGGTTAGCCTAAAGGCTGACATGTACAAGTCATCCTAGTGAGACAACAGGACCTTTTGTTTTTCAGAAGTACTACATTTACTATGCCGTAGAAACATCTATTAGATTAGATGAGTGTTTTGTGGAACAAATAGTACATTTATACTAGACTGTGAATGAGCTTTCTAGAGCTTTGTGACACTTTTCAAAGAAGAAAACTTTCAAGATTTTTGCTGGTAGGGACTGTTCCACAGTGCAGTTTTGTCAGGTAGTTGTTGCTCATAAAAAACTTGTTATGCCTTTCACAAGTTTCTTTGTCATATTTTAATATATCAGTGTATAAAAAAACTTTTATATTTAAGAGTGGTAGATTTTCTTTTGGGTAGCACCTCAGGCTTTAGCCAGTGATTCCTGTGCCTAAATGTCTGTGTACCTGTTGAAGTTAAAACAAACCAACTCGCTTGTCTAAATTTGAGAAATGCGGAGCATGCTACAACACAAGTCAAATAGACTCGATGTTGTTATTGATTTAATTCATACTAAATCTTACTCCTATACTGTATGGAAATAGGGGGAAAGCAATTAATGGTTTGCTGGGATGAACATGAGAAACAAAGTTTCAAAAAAGGAATAAAATGTTTTATTTGTACAATGCAATTTGTAAGATAATTAAATATTACTTTTTCCGTCTCTTAGATGATGAAGCATGCCTGGGACAATTATAGGCAATATGGATGGGGACATAATGAGCTCAAACCAATTGCCAGGAAAGGACATTCCACCAACATATTTGGTAGGTTGTATGTTCTATTTCAAGTATTTCTGCCTGTACCCTCTGCACAAGCTTCATAGTAAACTTTGCTTCACATTTCAAAATAATTACATTAGAACAAAAAAATGTATCAGTTTGGTGATAATTTAATAAATTGCTGAACTGTTCTTTGTGGAAAGTATGTTCTTAAAGTTGTGAAGCTTAAACTGAGTCTGTGCTACACACACTACATTTTGATACACAGGTAAATATTGCCACCGTATTCCATTAGGGATGCTATAAACTTTTAAAAAAAGACTTCTCTATATTTTCCTGTTTAATCTCTTGAAAATATGATACAAGGCAAAAAGGATGTGCAAGATACCAAAAAGCAGCAAGGAACAAGATCAATTTTGATGTAAGTTGCTTTAGAAAAATTGGGTATGATAAAGTGATGTTGTTACTTATTGTGTGAATTGAGGATCCTAAATATATAGATTGGAGTGAAAGAAAGAGATGCAAAACTCAAAATGTAGAGTTTTGTGAATGGTGAAGGTTCCAAAGAAATTCGATAAGTGAGAATGTTTGAGCAATGGAATGTGAATATGATCGTTGTAAATGACTTTGAATAGAAAGGAGGTAAATCAAGGAGTAAATAGCCTGTGTTTGTATACATATGATCAGATTAGATAATTGAATAGGCTTTTCTTCCTTAAAATGAGGGTGATCTGGAGCTGTACTGCTTTTGTTAGTTGGCAAGGTAGATGCACTGGAGTAGAACAAATAGAGTTGCAGCTGGTGCATGGCCTTGCACTGTATGTGCTCCTTGAGCTAGAAAAGAATCCATGATTTTTTTTTTTCCCCCACTTCTGTAAGACTGACAGTCTGAAAAAACTGGTTGTAGCTGTTGGAAGACTAAGCCCTGAAGGTTCCTTATGCTCATCCTCTTACATTAAAAAAAAAAAAAAAAAGCCTCAATTACTAACATCAAAGTTTGGCCTGGATTGATCCTAAGTGCCCAGCACCTCAGAAAACTTAGCCATAGAGTTCATGAGGGTGTTTTTTGAAATGTACATAGCACAACTGTTCTGTGACTCTTTTTTTTATATATGTGTGGGGAACAGGAGGCATTTTTATTTCTCTTCAGGTTTTCATACTGTATTCATCATCTTTGTGGTGTTTGAGCAAGGCACAAATTTGTCATAACCACTTTTTATATCAAAAATGTCTGTGACTTTACTGTGTATACCGTAAATATGTTAATAGTGATTATGAAAGTCTTCATTTGAAGCAAACAGTATTACTTGTATCTTCTCAGGTAGTTAATGATCTGTGAGGTTGGCTGTCATTGTGATTAGTATTTACTTTCTTTGTTTTGCTTTAAATCTTGAACCTCTTTCATTTGGATAGCAAAAGTAGAGAAGTGTCTTTTTTTCTGCTAGGTGGTTGAACCTAGAATAAATTATTTTGATTCAAATGAAAATGTTAACCTTTCGTTTTCATGTGTAGAAAAACTTTTAGTGGGAATTCATTCCAAAAAAAGAGCTGAAGTACTTGCTTTAAAAGTATCTTAGAGAAGTTTTGATTTTTTTTTTAATCTGTCACTTCCCTGTTGCCCTTAAATTTTATCTTTAAACCATTCTTTCCAAACCATCTTTCCAAATTAACAAGGATGCCCCCTGAGCAGAATGCTCGTTTGTGTATTTACAAATAAGGGGACTCCCACACAGTCTGGTTGAAGAGCAGGACAAAGGGAGCAGGGAGACGAGCTAAGCCATGAGTGAGTGAGACAAAAGAGTATATGCCAAGAGTTGGGGCCCTTTACAAATAAGGGAAATAGGGCAATTCCCCCACATTCTTCAGCAAGGGGGACAAAGGAGTCAGGTGACCTTAGGTGAGAACAGATGGTGGGAGGCAGGAGTTCGGTGTAGGTGGGCCAGGAAGGCTGTAACTTCTGAGTACCTTGGCCAATGGGGAAAAGGAGAGGGCGTCCCTTGGTCGGGAAATTAGGATAAAAGGGGGGCTGCGTCCCCCAGCAATTCAAGACACCCCACAGGGATATGCCCAGTGGACTCTCGCTTTATATGAATAAAGTTTTAGGACTCCTCTCATTCCTTTTTGGACATTCAGTTCTCGACATTGAGATTTTCTGCACACCCCCAACTATATTTTTCAGCAAAGACTTTATTGCATGGTGACTGTCAACCTTTTAAAAATAAATAAAGTACCTGTTGGACCTGAGGTAGAGAAGAGAACTTAAACCAGGTTCCTACCCCTGCTCTAGAGAAGGAGTGAGATCCTCTAAGAAGATTAAAATTTTCTGTGATATTTTTAAAAGGAAATGATCTCCTGCTGCAAGGACACCTGTTTAAATTCTTCAGAGTAATTTCATCTCTTCCACTGCCCTATCTGCAACAAGCACTGCACCTTTGCTGCAAACAGACCCTTCTGAATCTGGCATTATGTTTGCTTTTGTTCATGCCTTTTATTTTATGATTACTTTAGTTCTAGAACTTGCCTTGTTACTCTTTAGCGTGGTGTGAAAGATGGTTTTTGTCTTACTTCTTTATGTTCCCTTCTAAAGAGATTGGTGGGTCGGGTGGTGTCAGGACAAGGCAGGAAAAGGAGCAAGTCAGCATGCTCAGGAGAAAGAGGGTTCCAGGATAGAGGAGGAATTGGAAGAGTAAAATACAAGAGTGGGAAGGATGCTGCCAACATTGTCTTGTTCAAGGAAATAGTGTGAGATGTCTGAGCAGAACAGGGAGCCACAGGCTTTTGCTTGGCAGACAGAAAGGCGCTTCATAGAGTTCTCTGTGTAGCTTGCAACCCGGAAAGCCTCTGAGTTGCTGAGCTGCAACAACAAAAAAAAAAATACTGAGATGTGTCTGTTTATAAACTCTCTTTGTTTCTAGTCTGTTATGTTCACTTTACATAGTAATTTTTTTTTGGAAAGGTGAAATTTGTTCTAATATGCAGAATTTTAAAAGCCTGAGGAGCAGAGGGAGATGCTATAACACAGAGAACTGGATCTCCCTCAGAAGCTCTGACCAACTTCGGTCCCGTTACACCGGGATGTGTGCAAGTACAGCACTATTATCAGTCACGTTTCTAGCAAGTGTTAATAAAAACTCGAGGGCTCTAATTTTTAGATAGATGTATTTTGGGGGAGTGCTAGGGAACACTACAAAGTACAGATGCCACATATGATTTCTTCCCAGTGCTGATGAGATGATGTCCCTGTTTTTTAATCAAGGAAATGCTTTCTGAATCAATTAAGTTATGTTATGTGTTGGCACAGAGACATGTAAAATGGCTGGTGTAGTAGTCTTTTAGTCAGAATTAGTGATACCTGCATACTATAAAACACTAATGATAGTAAATTTAGGGAAGATTTCAACACTAGATTACAGCAATTTTTAAAATGTATAAGACAGAGACCTTTCATTCTGTTCCTTTTGAACACCAATACACCCATAGTTGTACATTATGTAGTTGGAAAATTGCTATGGGGTCCACCCCTTTTTTGAGACTGCGATTTGACTTGAGACTTTGATTTGTACAAAATCTAGATTACAAGAATGGAAGAGACTTTCCAGGTCAGTTCTAGTTTCTGTTTCAAATATTGTTAGATTGTATAATCCCTTCCTTCTCTGTTCCTGCTGTGAGATTTTGAAATAGCTTTGCAAGTGTAACATTGATAAAACTGGTACAGTTTAAATGAATTGATCGACTCTGTGTGTGTGTATATAATGTATATATTGTGTATATGTGAGTATATATAATGTATAAAATACATACATACACATCTATAAACAAAATTGTTCTCATATAAGTATGGTCCTGCATCCTAAATACTTTTTTCTTTCTGCTGTTAATGATTAATTGTAAGGAATCGTATTGCCTTTCAGTTTTGGATTTGCATAGTTGAAACAAACCGTGGTTATATTTCTCCTATTCTTTGATAAGATAGGCTTTCTGTTCCTATGATCATTCTAATTTCTCTGTCTTGTTTTCCATCTTAATTTGTTGTTCTGGGGAATGGGTGAGCAGAACTCTTCCTAGATGATTCTTCCTTATTATTTTGCCTATTGGCACTGCTTACAGTTCTATTGGAAACACCTCTTTAGTGGGATTCAGTGCTGGTGTTTTTGTTCTATTGGAAAAACCTCTTTAGTGGGATTCAGTGCTGGTGTTTTTGTTTTCTCTAGCTTTGTGTCATTCGAAATTTGTGGCCTCCCTTTATCTTTATCCTTGGGTCCTATTATTTCTGTTTTCTTTGAGATATTGAATTTAGGTCTTACAGTGAAAATCTTTAATGTTCACCTGTGTGGTCTTGTTGTTTTTGCTAAGACATTATGCTGCTTAATTAGCCAAGAATAATCTTAGATTAGCCTTGGTCCGTAACCCAGACTCATGCTGAAATTAGAATTTTCCTTTATATGGAAGGAAAGCATTTTTCTAATGTTTGTTTTCAATGTGCCTGATGCAGTGTTTTTAAGTAATTTTCAGTTACAACTCTCATCTACTTAGTCTCCCTGCCCTGCCTGCTTGTTTTTAATATGTCTCCTAATGCATTTAGATCTGGAGAAATCCGGAGGACCTTCTACTTCTTCGTCCTTGTTTAGCATGCTTATCCTTCGTAGCTTTAGCATTTCTGACTGAGTGAAATTGCAGGCTTTCTCCCAGTTCAAGTGTCTGATCATATTTCAGCAGCTCTGTCGGCCAGTTCCCTCAGTGTTTGTCCTATTAAAATCCAGACATTATATTGTGTCATTTAATTATTAACAAAATCATGTTATGTATCCTCTGTTCAAGGCTGTTTTGTAGGAACAACTTTTCCATTATGTCCTCCCTATTTACTGAGTCTAAAATAGAACCCAGTGAGTGTTGATTTGGTGGCTAGTTGTTTGTTGCTGGGAGGGGAGTGGGAGAAGAAATGGTTGCTCTTGGACCAAGGGTTATCTCTACTGCATTGTTATTCCTAGGACTTTACAAGTCCATGTTTGCCTGAGTTTGCACTACTCCCGGTGGTATTGTCTTTA